CGTTACTTACTTATAGTAGTCGCACTTGCGCTTAAACGAGCTAAAGACGGCGTTATAGCGATAGCTAATACGAAGGTGTGCTAACCGCGTGTAGCGGCGATAGGCCGTAGGCACCTCGACGGCGCGGCGCTTACTCGCCGACGCTTAAGCTAGGGTCGCCGGCGGGTCGGGTGCGCGACGCTTATAGGGAGTGCGTAGCGGCATAATAAAGAGTAGATGTTTAGAAGAGAAATCTATAAGGCAGAAAGAATATTAACAAGAAGTGGTTACTAGGGTAGGTTACTTAGCAAACAACCTACTTAGAGATCTGTAGATATAAGACCCTTGCGGATAGTAGCGGTAACGTATACGCCGCGTAGTAGGGGACTTATTAACCCTCTTATCGAGCAGCGGTTATTAAGGGAATTAAACCCTCGCCCTTCTAGGTACGGCATTTAGCCTACTAGAAGGAGGATAAAGTTCCGAAAGCGGCTACTTCCTATATAGCTAGTTTAACTAGCCGGCTTTTATGTRAATAGCCCGAAGGTTGCTTAGAAAATAGGCACTTTACTATATAGAGCCTACGGACCCCGAGCGCGACGTATGCGACGCGCGCGCGCCTCTATTTCCTAAGACCCCGAACTAAGGCCAGTTCGTATAGGGGGAAGGAGGTAATTATAAGGGCCGTGTAAGAGCCCTTATAATAACAGGATTAATAGAGGTAGCTRGATTAACYAACCTTAGAGAAGGGAGTATAATRTGACCTAACTGCTTAGCGTAGGCTTRGCGTATATATAACTCCTACGTATAGCGTACATTTAACCTATAAGAATTAGTCTCATCTCTAATCGAGTGATTACGGGTGTCTAATACATTGCTACATCTTTACCCTTATAAGAAGACGGTAATGTACGACACTATATAATAGAGTGCTTAGTACGACTGTCGTATGTAGCACTATAACTTAAGATCCTAGCGACGAGCCGCGAGCTACCTAACATACGGGAGTCTTTATTAATACTAGGAGCGGGACCCTTACCTATCGAAACAAATGCCGTAGACGGGGACATTCGTAAGTATATAGCGACGTAGCTATTACGTAACTATCGACTCTCTCGGCTAGATCCGGCGACTTAGGCACTAATCGAAAGCACGATTTCTAAAAAAGCAGATGGAATGTAAGATGTTCGGCTCTTCTATAGCTAACCGTAAGTACTAACGTTCTACTTCTATATAGGTTTCGATAGGCATTCTGTTAAACGTAAGAGCTAAAGAAGCTAAGGTCTATAAGGCTAAGGTTTATAAAGGAGGCTCTATACTCTCTCCCGTCGACCTTAGACGAGACGTACGAGCGGATGCTAGTTGGAATCGATAAAGCACTACGCTTAGATGCCCTCTAACTCCTTCGCTAGCTAGTATATGCTAAATCCCCTCCTAGTCTCGGCGAACTCGTCGATGCTACTATTATCGACTTAGCGGCGGACGGAAGGGTAGAAGTAGACGATCGGCTAGGACTATATAATACGCTAGAGATCCTATCGGATCTTRTCGTAATCGTAGGAGATAGGGAGGACGAAGATAATCTAGAAGATRTCGAAAGTRTAAGAGGAAATAAGCTAGAGTCTAAAGACGATAAGGTCGAGCTTATAAGTTATCGTTAACAGATTAGAGATAACACTAAGGTTAGGCTAGCGCACTTBTCTATAAAGGAGTACCTAGAGTCGAAGCGTATCCTTAAAGGTAATGCTAAGGACTTCTTCTTTAAGAGCTCTAGGGAACAYAAGATACTTAACTAAAGCTATATTACATATATTAYAYACTATAGYAAGAGTAAGGCGAAGYAGTCTACGGAGCAAGATCTCGGGACTTTCCCGTTACTCTAATATACGGYAGGGTCGTAGTTCTACTATTTAGCTCTTTAAYAGATAACACAACCTRCTTACGAGCTAGGCCTACTATRTAAAGAGGACGTAATAYATAACTAGTTAYAAGTGTACTAGCTAGACCGAACATAGGAAGGTCCGTTCGGGGAGCTTAAAAATATCGSATCYAGCCTATACTATACTAGCTTTATTAGATTAGAGTAGACGATAGATAAACTTCTTAAGACCGGGGTAGAGGTTAACGCTTAGGGGGGGTACTACGGTAATGCGCTATAGGCGGTATTATTAGAAGGCCTCGAGAAGGTAGTATAGATACTACTAGGTACGGGTACGTAGGTTAACGCTTAGGGAGGGCGCTACGGTAATACGCTATATACGGCATTATTAGAAGGCTCCGAGAAGGTGGTATAGATGCTACTAGCTACGGGAGCAGAGGTTAACGCTTAGGGAGGGCGCTACGGTAATACGCTATATACGGCATTATTAGAAGGCCACGAGARGGTAGTATAGATGCTACTAGCTACGGGAGTAGAGGTTAACGTTTAGGGAGGGCGCTACCGTAATACGCTATAGGCGGCATTATTTCGAGACTCCGAGAAGRTAGTATAGATGCTACTAGCTACGGGAGCGGAGGTTAACGCTTAGGGAGAGTTCTACGGTAATGCGCTATAGGTGGCATTATTAGAAGGCCTCGAGAAGGTAGTATAGATGCTACTAGCTACGGGAGTAGAGGTTAACGCTTAGGGAGGGTACTACGGTAATACGCTATAGGCGGCATTATTAGAAGGCTACGAGAAGGTAGTATAGATGCTACTAGCTACGGGAGTAGAGGTTAACGCTTAGGGAGGGTACTACGGTAATACGCTACGGGCGGTATTATTTCGAGGCTCCGAGAAGGTAGTATAGATACTACTAGACGCGGGCGTACTCGTTATTAGTGAGGATTAGGATTAACACTAACTAGTATATAAAGGTTAAAGCATACTTTAACATAGGTCTTTTGTCTTATGCCCTTACCTATAGTACATCTCTCGTTACCGCCTATCTATATAGAAAGTAAGACTATATAGGCATTTTTCTAGGTGTAGCTATTCCGCTATACTACTACGCTATAGTATTTACCGATTATAGCATAACGCGAGATAGAGTGGGGTACTATATTATAACGTGCCTTACCGCATCCTAAAACATCCTAAATGCTATTACTAAGGCCTAGCTTCTACCTCCGCGCGGATTAATTTATAGCGTACGTATCTAAAGGCCAAACACCTCGAAAAGTAAGGAGCATCGACCTTAAGAGGTAGGCTCTCGTATTATGTCCCACGATCTAAATATATATTAGCGGTAGTAATAGAGCAAGGGTAAGAACTCGAAGCTGCTTATGCTACTATTAGCGAATCTAATCGCGGCGACACCTAGACCTTAGTAACAGGCTTATTACAGCCGAGTTCTATAGGAAGAAACGGTCGAAGAACACTATTTTAGGGAGCACATCTTATTAAATCATGTAGTGAAGATTTGAACTGCCTTAACTATGAATCTCGTTCGGTGTAGAGGGTTTTTCGACCCGTAGGGAGGGACGTTACCAAAGCTTTTAAGAGGACGAATGACCAATTTATCGTCGTTCACAAAGCAACTCTTGCGTACACTTTTCCAGGCAGCAAAAGTTACGCAACTCTGGCTTAGCAGCCTTCAATAGTGCATAATCGTAAATCTCAGACTTGGAACGGGGATGGAGGTCATCGAATCGGTGTCTGTTGGTCTTGCTCTAGTATCACCGCAGGGTGCCCATGTGTTACGGAGCCTTCCGTCTGAACGTGCTTCTAGGAATGGAATCCGTTTGAGTCCGCCTGATCGAACTGTGTAAGGATGGTATCCTTGGCAGCATCAATGTCCTGGTCGTGTCCTTGTAAGCGGAGCCGATCAGCCTGAGCTTTACGCGCGCCTGACAAATATTCCTGCGATGGTGCCCGCTCCGCCTAGGTTCCGGCATGATCTGCTGAACTGGTTGCGGTCCATTAACTTTCCGAGGTTGCCAAGCCGAGAAGAAGCCACAGACTAGAACCTTCTCCTAAGAAATATAAGTGAGGTCATTTGAGCACTGTTGGGCATTGACTACCGATGCCATTGGTGCCCAAGGACCTTCCCCGCCCCACTCTCGTCCAATAGCTTCCACTTCCATGGGACGGCGTCACTCGTCACCTACGACCTAGTTCGAGAAGCTGAATTGCTTAAATAAATGATAAGCAGGAATTTGTCTCTCTCTCCGCGCAAGTATCGAATCTTGATTACGTTGTTCGTCTCGAGGCCAAGGGGGGAGACAGCACCAGCTGCAAGACACATAACTGTACCACCATATCCTTGCCTGGTCCCGGAGAGAATCACTGCCCTTGGTTAAAGCCATCCTCGCTGGTGCCGTCTCATCGCATTGGTCTTTCATTCGCTTGTAGTTCGCTCGTCGGTCTGTGAACAGATCGTACGGAGGGAAGGCCTCGTCTCTTGCATCGTTATAGACCACTGCGGTAGAAGGCAGACGAAAGTTGGAAAGAGGCACAAAAACCAGTGGTAGAATAGAGAGCCTTGTTCCGCACCTCCGTTGGGGCAAAGACCGGGGGCTCCAACAAAATCCAATTGAATTAAGCTAAAACCGCACACAGTGACATGAAAGTCTCGCCGGTGGACGATTATGAGTGGACAAGTCTTCCTCCCAGGATGGCGGCCCTCAATCTCCACGTTCCCCTCATAATGCTCTTGCTATGATCCCTGTAAAAATCATCGCCGGTCGGCATATTGCTTGGAAAATTAATCATCTCACAAACGCACGGCATTTCCACGCCAGTTTATCCTTGGATATGATTTGAAAAGAGATGAGTGTGTGTTCAAGGGTGCAATCTCGATGCTTGCGTGGTGTTCGTGCTGCCTGGAAAGCGCGTAATGGAAGCCGGCTCGAACGCTGTAGAAGTAGCAACGGGGGTTCACTCGGAAGACCATAAACAGCAGCCAAAAATATCGCAGCCTAGCTGAGTCAAAGAATGAGCAAACCAGATCACAACCCAACTGAGCCAAAAACATAGGCTCGTCATCCGTGCTTTACAGATTTTGACTATCACACAAGATGGTCCCAGACAATCACACAAGATGGTCCTAGACAATCACAAGATTGTTCCGATCTGCACGTACTCACTATTCCACCCCGATTCCTACACCGAACGATACCGAACTGAATCGAGCTGGCTTGTCGCAAGGACTAAATTTTCTAGAGTAAACGTACCGTCGCTCGTCAGCCGTGCAACGAATCCTGACATGGCTCCGATTGCAGAGCGACAAGTTGTGTTCGGCGCTGCTAAATGCCAAGATCAGCATGGCTATGTTGATCGATAATACACAACCATGTGAAGTGGTACCGGGCTTCAGGGCTCGCGATGGACATCATGGCCGCAAGTATGGGTCCCCGACAGCTTGAGATGATCATGATCGTTTATGGATGTAGACTTTGGCTTCTCCGCGCTGTTGAGAATTTTGAGGGTTATCGTCTAGCGTGATGCTTGTAAATGAAACTCAAATTTGCATATTTCCTTCATATCTACTGTTGCGTCGTGAGACCAAGCATGGGTAGCAAAACGAGGTTCGGCACGGTCTCTGCCCGAACGTTACTCAAGAACTCTGCCCGCTGTTCTTGTTCGATGCCATTGAAAAAGGGCGCATGTACGTCGCTTGTGCCGAGAACTTCGTAACGGTCACGCGCGGGGAAGGGCATTCCTGCTGCATAACCTTGCATGGTCAACAGCAAGGCATGACCGTTCCACAGTTTCGATGCAGCCATGACTCACTTGACTTCAGTGTCGGACTTTCTTTATTCGATTTGTTCTCTTGTAGCCTCGTCCCAAATCACCAGACAGACACGCCTAGGACAACCATTACGAAAGCTAAACATGTCAGCATCGGCGCTGGCACTGAACTTCCAGGACCTAGAGGGACGTCAGTGCATAGCAAGCACACAGAAGAGCGCCAGGTGCTTGGGCAAATCTCCGGAAGGATCTCTCAAAAGTGTTGAAAGGCAATTGAGTAAGATTCCTCTGACGGAACCAGAAAGCGTTGTATCAGAATCTACCGTCCGCCTTCTTATCTGCAATGCACATACCGAGGATGCCTTAAATGCTCAGCTGGAGTCCTTGACATCACACTATGGCCCAATACTACTGCAACATGCTAAGGACCATCCATTTGCCCAGGTCGTATCATTTCGTCCTTGTAAAAGAAATGCTAAGACCACATTCGCAAAGAAACTGGAGAGTTCCATCAAAGAGAACCAATTTCCCACTGGCGTTCTGTATGTGTTTACGTGGGATGGTGTACCTGATATGTGCAAGATTGGCTGTGCGAAAAGCGCTTCCGATAAGAGGATCAAACAATGGAAAAGGTGCTATCCTGGGCTGAAGAAGTGTCTCGAGGTTTCCTTCGTATTTCCACAGAGAATGGAGGAACTCATTCATCTGCAGCTGGCTGAAAACAGGTACGAACTGAACTGTGACGTGCAATCATGCAAGTCTAAAGTCCACGACGAATGGTTCAAATGCTTGCCTGACGAGGTGCGTCTTGCCATCAATAGATGGAGGGACGTCATCGAACACAGCTCACTCTACGACTCGGACAAAAGGCAGCTTACTCACAACTGGGATGCGGCGCTGCAATCTCTCTTGAATAGCAACAGCATGCAGCAAACTGCAGCCGAGCTGCTAGAAAGCATGGAAGGATCGGCTGCTKCTTTAGAGCACGGTATGCTAGGAATGTCTCTTGACTCGGCTGCCTAGCCTCTGGTTTTGTCTATTCTAAAGGCTGCTGAACCACGTTGTTTTGGCTCACTAAGTTCCGGAGATGATGTCTTGAATTGTGTGCGGAAACACAATGGCAAGGCAAGAAGAACAGGAAAGGTGATGGGTCGCTCCTTTCGTTGGCATTGACAGAGTCTTAGAATCGAAGAATACTTCTTGTGATGAACAACTTCGGTGCCTATACGGCTGCGGTATGCCAAGTGCGAAAAACTCAAGCTACTTCGCGATGTGCCGGTTGACTGGCACTTACGAGAGCACTGGGAGGTAGGAACGAGCAGCTAGGGCCGAAGCACCATAACGACCGAAACATGTCTTGCTAGTGCACACCTCCTTCTAAGTAGCTGCTCATTGAAAGCGAGCGTGGCGCCTACGTCTCAATCGCCAAGAACATTTAGGGACAAAGCAGCACAAGAATTCGTTATGTTTCGCAAGCCCTAATCTTCTCTTAGAACTCGCTTTCTCGTCTCCATCACCTACACCTCTAGCTCCTCCACCTCCTTCTAACGCCCTTGATTCAGATACGTGGAGGCGAGGTTAGCCGTACTGGACAGCGTGTCTGGATGCTCTCCTCCAAGCACTCGCTTTCTCGTCTCCATTACCTACACAAACAGCTCCTCCACCTCCTCCCATCGCCCGTCATTATATAAACTCATAGCACATTTCCGAGCAAGATCCGTCCTGTCCTCGTCTTGTATAGCAACAGCATATTCCAGGACGTACTTAGCATACGGCAACAATCGTCTCCACTTGCTGGTTTTAAGCAAGGCAAAGGCCAGGAGATAAGTGTGGAGAAGGACATTCTAAGGAACTGTGATTGTGTCCCGCGACCCAGGGACGGACATTGAATACAACGATAGATAGCTGGAGTAAGAGCTTCATTTCTGAGGCCCAATAATGCACGAATTCACCGTGTGAAATTATCAGCACCTTCTCAGAAGCCTTGGCAACAACGTGAGTATTGCTGTATAGCTTAATTGAGTGTGGTTGTGGTGTAATCTCTGTTTTGTATACAAATTAGTATGGTGGATGGAGGGGCTAACAGCTCCGCAACCGACCGGCACAGACTTTTGGTCCTCCGAAAGAAGTGCTAGACATGGCTTCTTGAGCTTGAGCAACAATACACGGTCTGACCACCGAGCTCCGAACACATAATAGAATAGACAGTAGTAACCACATCTTCTGTAGATCACATGCATTTGAGGATCCCGTAAAGCAGTGTTTCCTGGTCGCGAACAAAAGCTGAGTTGGTCCATCAGTTGTAATACACTCTTTCCAGAGTCAACTACCCCATCCCTCGGACTCCCGAAAGTTCCTCTCTTAAATGAAGAAAACATCGCAATGTAGTATTTCGATGCTATATATATGTAAGACATCTTAGAATTTAGGAAATAGCCTATAAACGTATATATACTAAGTAGCATATAGCTCGAGATATACAGAGTGCGTAATACCTCGCCGTCGCTTACCCCAGCCCTAATAAATTAACCCTAATCCGTTTACATATAACCCAAATTTCGCGACGGCGTCGATTACGTAACGCTCGGTTAACGAATGTCTATAATAGTACTATAGATACATAAACGAATATATTTTAATAGATTTATGTCTTTTTAATACCTATATAGCACATCGCCGTTACGTAAACTATATCGATGTTCTAAAAGAAGAAGAAGTTCGGGAGTCGGAGCGATAGCGTAGTTAACTCTAGAAATCGTATACCCCAACCCTAAGGCTAGTTTCGCTCGTTCTTTAGGCCTAACTTGCCTATAACATAGCTATAGCTTAAAGAGAAAGCTTAGAGCTCTAGCAAGCGACAGGTTATACTTAGATACTTATATAACTTATAAGATACGAAGTTTATATCGAAGGAGACGTAAATCCGCGAGATTACACGGCTGAAATTCTAGAGCGATAGCTACGGGCGACATCTCTTACACGAAGTAGCTAAACGAAGAATCAAAGGTATTTAGCGCTAACCTAGCTTACTAGCCTACGAATGTAACTTATATAACGTCTATCCTAGCGTCGCGAGCCACCTAGTATAGCGAGCCGCGACAATAGTCTTCACTTCTTTAACCTACGCCCTATAAGCGTATAGAAGCTTGCGACATATAAAACTATTCTTTAGTAGCCTCGGCCCCTTCTAGCGAAAGCATAACTAGAAATACAAGATATTAATCGGTTAGTCGTTATTAGCGTTAACGCCGCTAATCGGCCCTCCTACGACTCGCCCCTATTTAATCGCGTCTCTAACGCTAATATTCCATCTCGGTAGGTTGGGGTTATTTTTAGGCACATTAGACATGTCTAAGCTCTAGTTAAAGGTCGAGATTAAGCACAAATCCAACTAGTTAAACGAGACACTCCGCGCTATACGCCGTAGTAAGTTCATGTATACGCTAGTCTCGGCTCTCCGCGTAGTACCTATCTACCTACTAGGAGGAGGTATAGACGCTCCCGGAACCGTAGCTAACCCTAACTACGGCGTTACTATCTCCGACTCTAAGGCGCGAGAGGCTGCTAAGGCGGCTACTTTAGAGAGGGAGAGGGCTCGTCTCTTCCTACCTCGAAAGCCTAGTAACACTTAAGAAGACCTTAAGCAGATATTCTTAAACAATAGCGCGGGAGGAATAGTAGCTATAAGCGCTTAAGATGCTAAAATCATTAACGAACTTAACTCCCGTAATCCCGGCGCTAATGTAGTAGTTCACGACGACGACGATAGTACTCTCGGAGGCGGTCCTAGACCTAGTATTAATAACTAGGACATTAGCGATGTAAGAAATATATTACGGAGAGCAAGTACGAGAGGAAAGCGTAGACCTAGAAATAGCGTGGAATTAGAGAGATTCCGGAGTGCTACTACCGCGTAGCTACCTAGCGTACCTACAATTAACGAACCTAGCGAGTTAGATTATATAGAATACGGATACACGCAAGCCTATCCTTAGGTAAGCTCGTAGACTTTCGGGGGTAAAAGTAGGGCGTATTAGCCTACGGGAAGTCCTATAGGAACCCCTAGTGCTAGTATAAATTCGGCGTACTAGCCGACAACGCAAATCCCGACGTAGACTATATAGGGTAGCGGTAGTATCTTTCCGGTGCCTATAAGTCGGTTAGCGGGAAACCCGTATAGAGCTAGTAGTATAGAGCAGGGACAGAATAAGGACGAGGAGAGGGGTGTAAGGCCTTTTACTAGCGTTTAATAAGAATAAAAAGGGTACGACTATAAGATCTATAGGTAGGCGGAATAGTAGACTAACGCTCGAAAAGTTTCGGACTAGAAAAAGTATATAGAAGAACGGCACAGTAATTGCATTAAAGCAGCATTATAGCTGGTTTTTCTAATAGCGTTATATAACGAGTGAACGAAAGTTTCTATTTCTGTGTATAGATTAGATAGTAAGATAGGGTAGAAAATGCCTAGAAGGAGACTTGTATAGAACGGTACTCTTAATCTACGAATAGGACGAAGTAATAGAAGGTAGGAGGTAAGGGAGGGTAGGACCTTAATAAAATATCTGCTCCTCTCGCCGCCGTACTAAACCGGCCACCGAAATTTCGGGCCCGATTTCTTAGCTAGGGGACTAATGTAGGGCTTAGACTTTATAGAGACACCGTAGGTGGGAAAACACGACCTTAGCTAACTAAGTTCGCTTTGCCTTTAACTTATAGAATGAATTATAGGGAAGGAAGTTATATAGACGTAATAGGATCCTAAAACTTTTTAAGGGGTTTGCATATCTTCTTAGGTCTTTAGCTTAAGACTTAAAAAGACTTGCTGTTACTACTACTGCTTAGAGGAAGAATAGTACGGCTCCTCCTTTATTCTATTCCTACTTTATTAACGATACTACTTTTCCCTACCTAAGACACTCTTTTAGCGATATAACTACCTAGCACTATCGCGAAAAATACCACCCCGTAAAACTAAAGACTCCAAATCCTCCGCCGCCGGTACCCTTATAATTACAGCCTAAGAAAGTCGCTTCTACACCGACATAGACGAATCTAACACCCTTAAAGAAATCGTCGTTAAAGACCTAAGCATCTCTATCGGCAACCGCGAACTCTTATTACATACGAATTTCCAACTCTAGCGTAGAAGACATTATATTCTACATAGTAGGAACGGGATTAGGAAGTCTACGCTTTTAAGAGCTATTGCTACGGATTAAATCCCTAGTATACCGCGCGGGGTAAAGGTTTTACTACTTAGACAGACGACTTCTTCGGAGTYAGAAGATAAGATTAAAGGGCTGGAGTTAAATAAACGGAGTGTACTGGATTTTGTAGTAAGGAGTAATAAGCAGCGGGAGATTTTACTATATAAAGCTAAAATTTTAGGGGAGGGGATTAAGAATTCGGGGGATGCGACTACGGGAGTAAGGGCTTATAGAAGGGTTGAATTTAAGAGATTAGAGAGGAAGTTAGAGGCGGTTAGGCAGAGTGCTATTAGGAGGAGTAGAGGGAGAGGGGCGGATRCGAAAAAGGTGTTGTTAAAGATAGAGAAGGAGTTTGAAGTTTTAAAGGAGAGAGTTAGGGCGGAGGTTGTTAGAGCTAAGGAGATAGGGGAGGAGACGTAGAAGGCTACGGAGATAATAGTAGAGATTTAGACGAGTTTAGAGTTAGTAAGTGTTCTTTCGTCTATTTGGACTAGATAACTAAGTCGATGCTAATTATGTTAAGATAGATGCGTCTACTACTAAAGTAAAGGCTCGGTCCGTTCTTATAGGGTTAGGCTTCTCGGAGGAAGCTATTAATTAGCTACGATCGTAGCTTTTAGGTGGATGGCGAACGAGATGTAGTCTCGCCTATGCCCTCTATTAATCTCCTAGTATGTCTATAAAGATTATGCGATTATGGAATCTTGCTAATTTACATAGATCTCCTACTCCTCGACGAGCCGACTAACTTTCTTAATCTCCCTTTATTTATCTAGCTAGAGCGCTACGTCTAAGACCTAACTAATACGACAGTAATAGTTGTTACTTATAACCGCTCTTTTAGCGACTTAGTAGCAGAAGAGCTCCTAGTCCTCCGCAACTAAACCCTCGAACGCTTTAGAGGGAACCTCTCTTCCTACGAAATAGACCGATTAAAGACCTACAAACATATAACTTACCTTAAAGATGCTTAGAACAAACAAAAAAAACACATCTAGTCTACTATCGATAGGAATGTCGTAGCCGCGAAACGTGCTAGAGATAACAAGAAACTTAAACAAGCTGCGTCTCGAAAGAAAAAACTTAACGAACGTATAGGCATATAGGTTTCCGTAAAAGGGACAAGATTTAAGTTAAATCGTAATCGAGCGGGCTACTATGCTAATAGAAATAGAAATGCGATTAACGTCCCTACGTTCGATCCTCTAGTAATAATAGTTATTCCTACGGAACCTTCGGATTTAAGATTTCCTAGTAGTCTTATTAGCTTCGAAAAGGTCAACTTCTCCTATAGTACGGGAAAGAATTAGAAGCACATCTTAAATAACATCGACCTAACGATCTACCTCGGTAATCGTATCGGTATCGTAGGTCTAAATAGTTCGGGAAAATTAACGCTAGTAAGCTTGGCGATAGGTGTTGTTGCTAGGTTAGGGAAGTAGATGCTACCTACGAGCGGAACTATAGCGAGACACACTAGAGCGAAGTTTGCATTGTATTTACAGCAAGCTACTAAGGAGCTTAAGACTCTAGCTACGAGGCGACCGGAGCTTATAGCTTTAAGCTATTTAATAGAGTTTGTAGGACCTAAAATTACGGAGCAAGTAGCTCGTAGACTTCTCTCGGGCGTAGGCTTGTCTAGCAAGATTGCTTCGGATGTTCCTATCGCTCTGCTTTCCGGCGGACAAAGAGTACGGCTAGCTCTGGCGAAAATTCTATCGGATCCTCCACATCTTCTTATCCTAGATGAGGTCACAACACATCTGGACACCGATACGATTCAAGCGCTAGTTATAGCGTTGAAGACTTACGAGGGGGCGATCTTRGTCGTCACTTACGATCGGTTTTTCATAAGATGCGTGGTTAAGGGAGAATCTATGAGGGCTCTGGCTACGGCTTCGAGACCTGAGGATAAGGAGAGTGATGAGGATAGTAGGAGYGATGAGGATGATAATGAAGCGACGAAGAGGACGAGGATTGTGTATAGATTGAGTAAAGGGAAGTTGAGTGTGTTGAAGAGGGGAATGGAAGGGTATGAGGAGATTGCTGCGAGGAGTGCGGCGAAGATGGGCAAGGCGTAATCGTAGTCGATGTAGTATTCGATTCGGAGGAATAAGCTGAAGGGAAAGATATGGCATCTATTCATAACAAGCTTCCCAACAAATGAATATGACTTTGATTAGAAATTTCCATCTTGCAGATCAGTGAGAGAACCATGCAGCGATCTTGATACACCAGTCTCTTCGTCTTATCCCCTCAAGATGAGATGAATAGTCGATTCATTCCAAATCCTGTAGTCCGCCAGAGTTTGAACATCCTTGAGCTGTGTTCCAGCAAAGACTAAACGCATCTGATGTATTGGAATCCCCTCCTTCTCACGAACAAGCTCTTTAAGATCTTGAATAGTCGCAGTGCTACTAATGGGTATCGTCAAAGTAACTCCATTGAGCATCTTGACAAAGACCTTGAAATTTGCGGTATTGCTCGAGTCTCCACGTAGTCTGAGAACCAAATGCAGGACATTGTTCTTATGCGTAACTCTGTAGTGTTCGAGAGACATGGCATCTTCAAGTTGCTTTCCATTGAAGATTAAACGCTGCTGGTTTGGTGGGATGCCTTCTTTTTCATGCAGTAGGGTCTTGACGTGTTGGATCAGGTCAGAGGATTTCACCTCAAAGTGGATGGACTTTCCAGTGAGGGTCTTGACAACGATTGGCATGGTATCTTCTCCGCTAGGGAAAAACTGGAAAGATGAATAGTCATTTTGAGTGGGCTTTGTCCTGTTGATCTTGGCATCAGGAGCAGGCGTTGTCGTGTTGATCGTGGTTGGTGGCTGCCGAGCTCCGTTGATCCGCCGCCGAAAGAAACCAAGCAACCCTCGATCTGCTTCCGCGTTTTCTCTGGAAGAAGACGTGGCCTTGGATTTAGAGGATTTGGGAAGGCTTGGGGCCATGGCAGAATGTTTATATTGGGGGGACTCGGGGGCCATGGCATGATTGTTATATTGGGACATTCTCAAAGCATGGAAGGTCTCGTTCTGAACATCCGGGCTGCTTTGCGTCTGTCCAGCCTCCAAAGTTGTGCCAGTGGTATGGTTATCACCAGCTGGAGACTCTTCCTGAGACCCCGCAGAGTCATGAGGGCGGCGTCCTGCATGCGGGTAAGGGGTCCTTTGCCAGCGCTCCCATTCATAATCGACATCTGGCCTATCATTCTCCGTGTGGGTTGTCTTCCCTAGACCATCGATCCCAGGTGCATGAACGTGTTGTCCATTGTCATGACCTGCCTCTTGGTCCCTCGCCTCAAGATTCTTCAGCAGTTTGAGACTTTTCGGTAGTGCTGCACGCTTCTCTTCGATGTCTCTCTTCAAGTTTGCCTCAACTGCGCTAAGCTTGACCTCTTCCTTCTGCTGTTCTTCTTCGGCAGCACCCTCTGCTTCTGCGTAGTTTCGACGAGCTTTGGCGACACCAGTTGAGCGTTCACCAGCCTTCCTCCCTTCGATTACTCCCATCCTCTCCTCTCGCTCCAATAGTTCTGCCCTGTGCTTAGCAGTCTCTCGCCGCACTTTGCGTTCAAGCTCTTTAATATTTGCTTCCTCTCGAAGCAGCTGTTCGTCTTTGGCTCGGCGAAGAGCTTTGAAATCCTCAGAATCAACAACGATACGATTCAGTCTCAGGCGAATTACCCCCCTGCCCCGAGCCGTTTGATACATTTCAGTGAAAGTCTCTGGTCGACCATCGTCAAGTTGTTCAAAGTCTCCGGATGATTCCGAGAACCATTCCAAAGAGATTTGATCATCAATTCCGAGAGCCTTTCGCAACTGTTTAGCTATTTAGCTGATACTTCTATAAGCGTCCTCGAGGTTTATTACGCTCACCTTCGCGTTCAGCGTGTGTGTGGACAGATCTCTCAGCGGTAATTCAAGATTCCGCGCCCGTCTATCAACGCTGACTTTCAATGCTATAAGCTTTTCCGATGGGACTTCCCCTTCGGTATTTACGTCGTGATCCGAATTTGCATTGGCTTCGTGTTGTATTGCGGTGGCCAGTGCATTTGGGTCAGAGTGGTAGTCCTTTTGCAGACCGGAGTCGTGCAGCGAGGACTCCGACTTGCTTGTAGACACGGCGGATCTAGGACGCTGCGCAGTAGTGGAGCGCTGGCCGAGCTCGCTTTGATCTGTTGACCACTGAGCAGAAGGCATGAGTGTCCCGGTACTGTTCGAAGCCACACCAGTCGGGCGAACAGTCGCAGGGCTGTGCAATTGGTGCACAACGGTTTCGGATTGTGTGCCGCGATGGTTGCTGGTAAGACTCTCAAAAGTGTTCTTCTTTCTCACAAATTCTGTCGTCAGATCAGACTGATCGGTCTGATCCAACCAGCGATGCTTCAGACATTCAGCAACACTCGGTCGAGTGCTTGGGTCTCGCTGCAGCGACGCTTGAACAAACGAGAGCGCATCGTAGCCCGGATTCTTAGCCATCATGGTCTGGCTGGGGAACATCTTATCGACGCCAACGGCAAATCTCAAGATGTCTTTGAAGTTCATGTTGGGCATGCCTACAAGCATGAGATAAGCAATCATTCCAACTCCCCAAATGTCCACAGCATTCGTATATGTAGAAGTTTGATCAGAGAGTATCACTTCCGGCGCTGCGAAATGCTGTGTCCCCATTGCCGTACGCAGTGATGTGATGCCTTCTTCCGTACGCTTGCTGATACCAAAGTCAGCAACTTTGATCCACCAGTTTGGCCCTGGAGCCTGTATCAATATGTTGCCCGGTTTCAGATCTCGATGCGTAAAGTGCCTCTCATGCATGTACTCAAGTGCTTCCAAGATCTGTGTCGTAATCGCTCGCGCTTCGGTCTCCATCAGGGGAGTTTCGAGGTACTGCTGTAAGTCGCCATGTGGTAGAAACTCCATGGTCAGATAGATGTGCTCTTCCGTGGCATACCAACCAAAACATTGCACAAAGCTGTCTCTGTACTTGMCGAGCGAGAAAAGTGCAAGGGCGTTGAGTTCATGGTGATAGTTTCCGCTTCGTGCCTTTTGGAGCTTCTTGACTGCACGAACGTGGCCGACAGTAGAACCACTAATGCAATTTTCCAGGTAGACGGAACCAAAGCCGCCATCTTTGATCCATCGACCTCGCCTCCACTGTTCACTGGTCGATGCTCCCCATCTACTGTGACCACCTCTTCTGCGAATTATGGTCACTTCTGAGTCGTCCGCTTTGATCTCTGCGTGTAATTGAAGCGCTAGCGCAACGTCGGACAAGTGCGCCATGGAGAGTGGCTAATCGATGCCATGAGACCGGTATCTCGTTGCTGCCCTCGCCGAATGGATGTTCTGGACGGTAGAAGAACTATTCCTTCGTCGTGGGTTGGCATGACTGGGAAAAGATTCCACATCGGCAAATGGGGGTGTGGGAACCATGATACTTAAATTAGCCCTGCATTCAGCCGCACGCAAGAGCAGCTCCTCCCGCATGAGCCCCGCAATAATCTGGGCTGTCGACAAGAACACCCAGTCAGCTCTCTATGATACTTTTTGAGCCTAGCAGGCTGTCTCTCTGTTGATAGTTACGTTCTCGAGGCACAGAATGGAAGCTGTTGGCCTTGCCCTTGCTATTGTTGCCACCATTGACATAGCTCTCAAGTAAGAGCAAATCATCTTCAAGGGTTTTTCAATATCTGCTTACGCAGTTCGCGCAAGCCATGGCCACGCTCTCGTTGAGCTATGCCGCTCTTTCAAGCACGCCGACGAGGAGATAGAGCATCGTGTAATACTGGTTGAAAGCTCGACGTTTCGCACCAACAGCCAGCTCCAGCTGATCAAGCAGATGCAAGATGATTTGGACGATGATTTCAAAGCCATGTAAGTGTCCCAAGGAAGTTTTTGAAAAGTTCAGGCTGATGCTAAGATCCTTTGCTTCCAGGCAGATAGGCTTGTACAACGTCTTCATCGCCAAGCTGAAAAACGTAGTTGGGCGACTCGAGAGACTCCTCGAGAAGAACGTCGACGAACATGGCTCCTCGAAATTTGTAGTCAAACGAGGGAAATACATCTTTGTCAAGCAGTACCTCGACTCTGCCATCGATGAAATGGAGCGCTGGCAGACCAGGTTTGATCCTACCTGGAAACTGATAACTTTGAAGTTACAATCTCCTGCGGTAGACATGTTATTGAGAGACGTTGATGAGGGAATGAGTAAAGACGAGTCTGCAGCTTCATCCGTGAAGGCTACAAGAGCTCTAAGAGGAGTTGTCAAAGACGGTGTAAGCTCAGGTGTAAGAAGTCCAGCAGCGCAAGGTTCTCAGACACACGCTGATATGTCCTCAGGTGAGTGTATTGCTACCTGCGCGTCAGTTGGAAGGCATGGGGGTGCAGCGCATACCATTCTCGAAAGCAAGTATGTACAGCAATTTGAAGCGACGCTACGTGGTCGACAGCATCGATCTCGGTCTCGAGCACGTTGGAAAGAGCCGGAGCAAGGCTCTGGTGAAGAATGTCAGAGATCTTGCGGAGAAGTTACAATTTGTGGAGTCAACTCGAATAGGCATGCTCCAGTGCAAAGGCTTTGTCGTGCGGGAAGAAGGCGGCTTTTGGATCATCTTCCGACAACCACCGGGTACTGACAAAGWTCGATCGCCTAGAAGTCTTCGCGGGATGTTGATTTCCGCTACTGAGCATAGTCTGACTGAGCGCATGAATATCGCTAAACAGCTTGCCAGAGCTGTGAGCTACGTTCATTCTCTCGGCTTCGTCCACAAAAACATACGACCTGAGACCATCATTGGCTTCTGGACTAAAGGGTTGAAAGGCAGCCTCGAGTCGGTGTTCTTGACTGGCTTCAGCCAGTTCCGAGCAGAGCAGAACTCCACAGGAATGCTGGGAGATGCCGATTGGGAGCGGAACCTTTACCGTCATCCAGAGCGTCAAGGCAYGCATCCGGAAGAAAAGTACGTGATGCAGCACGACATTTATAGTCTTGGCGTGTGTCTTCTCGAGCTTGGACTGTGGACCTCGTTCGCGGAGTATGATCCTGAGGGAATTGCAAACAGAGGAGAGCAGCTGGCATTGGCGATCAAAGCCAGCGATCCCAAGGATGCCGAGGATTCGAAGAAGATGCTCGTCGCCTTGGCCAAGAGGCAACTGCCTTCCAAAATGGGCGACCGATACTGCAGTATTGTTGTCAATTGCCTAACGTGCCTGGATCATGACAATGGCGACTTTGCAGACGAATCTCAATTCCATGACGAAGCAGGCATCCAGCTGGGTGTGAGATACATGGAGAAGGTGAGTGGTCGGTACCATCTGTTGGAAACAGTCCAAATTGCTCATCTTCACGCAGATCATGCTGGCATTGGAGGATATCGAGATCTGATTGATTTCTGGCTTGTGGTGCGGGGAGAGGTGGGATGCAGACGCGAATGCATCGACGGGGAGCGAAATTGTTGTTGGCGTTTTGACAAGGTTGGTCTGTGTGTCGGATTTGAGTTATTTCACGACAGGGTTAGGGTTGGGGTAGCTCATCGTAGTTGTTGACGGAGCCTTGACTTGTCCAGGTTCACGATAATGATGTTCAATTGAGTGAGTGACTTTTATAGGCGACTGACTGATTATTCAAAGGCCTATACACAGTTACACGCGCTATGGAGCATAATGTGAAAAGAAAGGCTATTGGACTATACAGGAGCTACAGTCGATACCGCAAAAGACATCTACATCGTCCCAACACAAGCTCACAAAGTCACGGTCGTGAAGCTATTCATCAAATTTAGAACACTATGCATTCGAGACCCTATCCTTGGAGCATCGTCACAACGATTGAGTATGCTTCCTTTTGAGCCTTCTCCGCTACCGAATCAGGCTTCGGAGAAACATCAAATGCGTGGCTACACTTCTCAAACTTGCGGTAAGTGAGACTCAAGTTACTCTCTGTTTGCAACCTCTCAACAAATCTTTCGACTTCCGGCATGAGACTGTCTGCCCCTGCAGTGAAGATCGCGATCTCGTTTGGCAATCTATCCAGCGCTGCGAATGCAGGTGAGATACGGTGATCGTTCTTGTCAAGATTCGCATCTTGTAAGTAGCAGGCTTGCAGGAGATCGAGCAGCTTAGGAGGAACCAGAGGACCTATGTCGGGATCCGGACTAGCTCGAGATGAAGGCACGATGGTGAGATCAATTGGAGGGTAGAATAAGATAATCTTGGAGAATGTCTTGGCAGGGAACACGGTCGATGCAAGGCTTGCAAGAACTGATCAGACCAGCCAGATTGCCCCCGTCACAATCCCCAGCTTCTTTCTTCTTTTGGATGGACATGGCGTAGGAGAGAAAGCAAATATCGCGGAGACCGAAATCCGTCTCGAGCGTTGATTCGAAGAGGTGGGGTACTGCGTATAGAATGCTGCGGCCATCTCGAACCAGCGCGGTCGCAAACTTGACTCGGGCGAATGCTTTCAAGTCGGCAGCTTGGTATTTTTCGGCGACGGCGTAGACCATGGAGTGCATTTCGAGCAGAGATTCGTCGTTCTCGGTGGGGTTCTTTTCAATCTCGAGGTTGTATTCAAAGCCGTAGAAATACTGCAGCATAGCGTCCACGACCTCGGGCGGATCTTCCTACGATTTGTTAGTGACCTCTTTGAATTGCACTCAGGACTCGACGGTGTGTACCTTGAGATTCATTCTACCCTGTTCAGCCTCGGTGTACTTGCTCAGGAAGCAAGTCTTGAAATGTACAGAGTGACAAGACAGTACTGCCCGATGGACCTGCCAGGTTTTGTCGCCACACACGATCGTGAAATCGGAAAAGTCTCCGCTATGGRGCAGACTAGAGATGAAGAGTCGGTACGAGAATATTCAGGGAGTCTGGTGATTGCTCTTGACATCAATCAAAATGGATATGCCGATATGAGTAACAAATATCGAAACGAGGGGGATGCTTACGACCTAGCATTGGCCTTGAAATTGACCGCTTCCGTCGCCATGCTGAGCGAAGCGCGGATATGCAAGGCGTTCAAGCTTATTTGGAGAAGGAAGTCGTGTGTAGCTCAGACTTTGAGAGAGCGGGAGTGTGGTTTAATCCACGACGCTCGGTCTTGGCGTTCACAAGCGAAATGCCGGTGAATGCCTTTCCCTTTCCCGCGCAAGCTGGCGGCTTGACACAAAATCCACTGTCGGCCATGTCTTGAAATGTCTAAGCATCAACCCCTCCGCTCCGGAGGATGGCGACAGGTATACATGTTCGTGATGGAGATCTCGGCGCTCTGATACATTCTTGCTCCTTGTAGTCATTAAAATATAGTTGGGTTCGGAAAGCTGAAAAGCAAAAGTGGAGCGCATCCAAACGATGGTCAAGGTCAATATAATACCCAGACTCGTGCAACAAAGATATCACAGAAAGACTGACTTTCACGATCTAGAGTAGCTCTCACCCTTTGTCATCTGGTCCAGAGAATAAGCTGGGACATTCCTCGCCCGAGCAGGACCAACAACCTTTGAACCTGTGAGCAAGCAGAATAGAAGTGCTCCCTGGATTATTCAGGCCAGACGAAGGAGATTATTGGCCCAATTTGGAGACCCTTCGTGTCGAAGGCATACCCGATACAACTCATCTGGGCTTCAAGTTTCTTTTTACTCTTAGTCTTGATCCCGATACCGACACCAACTATCGCTGTCCCTCTTTTCTGGAGGACGTCTATTCGAGCTTAGGTCATGCAGCACGCAGAATGCCTCGTGTAAGATCGATCGTTGTGTCATTCAGCTATGGGGAAAAGAGATTGTTCTTGCAGACACGGGATGATCGTCGAGTTCTTTAACACTCCGCGGATATCAATAAGGAGAACGATCTCTCCCCCAAAGTCTGACAGCGTGAAAAGCTCGTAAGGTAAACAAGTACCAGGACGGCGATCCAGAGGATGGTTGGTCGCCCTACAGAGAAGCCATATGGAATTCCTGGCCGTCCGAATAATTGCAGAACCTGCGATATGCGTCGCAACTACACTTTACGACAGCGCGCGTACGTTGATTTGAAGATATGGATGTCCATCTACCCAATGTTCCAGTCAAAGCTACAGCTTACATATCTAGCTATCTCGCCATGCTGAAATGAGTATATGCATGCCCAAGCCATCTGCACACTGCCGTCACGATCTACCWACACCCTGCACACGGGAGAGCACAAATTCTACCCGGCCCACATACTCAGTATGTATGGGCCACGAAAATCGGTTTTCCGAATATCAAATCCATCGACTTCTCATGCCACGAAGTAATAGCAATGATGGCAATCGCAGACACAAGTCGAACCAACATAGATTCACCGCAGAGGCACACTAGTTTGTTATAATGCTGTTTCCGTTGATACTACGATATCTTTGCGTGGCCTTTCGCAGAGGAACTTATCCAGGTACATTAGTTAGCCTTAGCAACTCCCCTTCGCGGTGGACCTCACGCAGGTATCGTACCAATGAGATTGCTTCCACATTCCCGATAATAAATGAGCCTAGCGGGATATCTTACTGAACATTACGCATAGTAAGCACATTTCTCCGTAGATACTACGAAGAAGTTCGTTCCTATTAAGCGCTAGCGCCACTAGAACGCCAGCATTAATACCTGCCCCAGCTAGTTTCGTCGGTCCGCGGGGAAGTTAGAGGGCCCTACTACTAATATTAGTACTACAGCGTACTCTAGCATCCCTAAATTAAGTCCAATCCACTCTAATTTAGTCCTATATCGTTCCTACTATGTCGGTAAGTAGTCCGTATAAAAGGTATTGTTTTTAACTATTCTAACTACGCGTAGGAGCCTCGTAAGGCTACTAGCCGGTAGTTAGAGACCTACCTCTATAACTAGCTCCGAGTAGCTTTCGAAACTACTAACCGTAGTAACCGTGCTATTAGACGTACGTACGGTATTACCTATTATAAGATAGTTGGCCGTATAAGGCTTAGTTTCGAGTTGTTTAGACAGCCGTATCCTCTACCTACTATACGTAGAGGTAGGCTACCGCGCCTTATACGAGATAAAGAGTAGGGCTTCCTTCGGTATATCTAGTCGTAGCCGGATGCCTACGCGGATAAGATAGCGTAGTAGATATTCGACAACACTAGCTACGTATATAGCGACCGCGGCGTATACGCCTTACTATCGCGGTTATAATAGACTCGAAAGGTTGCTCGGCGGATTACTAGAGAGCGCGATAAGCGACTACGGTCGTATTAGCGCGCGAAGGCCATCGGATAGAAGCGTAATAACCTAGTATTTATCGACGAGTTAGCGTATAATAAGCGGAATAGATAYAGGTAGGTTGTTAGTGTCGCTATAAGGTTACGAGAGTTACGAARGTTAGTGTTTTAGCTTAACTAACAACACACTTAGGAAGTACTCTTAGTTACTAATTAGCTATCTAGYAGACACTCGGTTACTAACTAAACGCTCTAAACGGTAGTTACTAGTTCTAGCATTTATAATRCGAGGTTACTTAGACGGTCTATTATTAAAGTAAGGAGCGATTACCGTAGAGGATATACTAAACTAGCTAATCTAATAGGTCCTTCTACAACTAGCTACTAGCATAATTGTTATTATAGATAATACATTAATCCACCGCTCTAAAGCTGTCGAACAGGCCGTTTAAGAGGCTAGCTATATACTCGAGATGCTACTACCTTACTCTCCGGACTTTAATCTAATAGAGCAGTTATTTAATATCCTTAAGTTGTAGATAAAGCGACACCGAAACGAAGTAGCGGCGTATGCTAATTTCGAGGACTTCCTTATCTACGCTATATAGGAACAAGAGTTCGAAATAATACCGTAGAAGCACTTCGAAAAGAGTAGTTATTACCTATAGCTTACTATTAGAGCTCGTCTCTATATGTACATTTATCGCAGTTAATATTAGCTAGTCGCATTATATATACGTAGGAAGCTCCGTATCCTCTAGAGTATTAATCCTTTCCTTAAGTCCATCTAATCGTAGTAATATTAGTAATATTGCCCTTATTACCTGCTCTAGAGTCTCTTAAATTATAGCAAGTTGTTTGTCCTTAAAGATAGTCGCGAGTTCCTTATATATTAGTAGTGTAGGGAACGGTAAGGACGTAG